CTGCGTGCGTGTCTGCGTGCGTGTCTGCGTGCGTGTCTGCGTGCGTGTCTGCGTGCGTGTCTGCGTGCGTGCGTGCGTGCGTGCGTGCGTGCGTCGTGCGTGCGTGCGTGCGTGCGTGCGTGCGTGCGTGCGTGCGTGCGTGCGTGCGTGCGTGCGTGCGTGCGTGCGTGCGTGCGTGCGTGCGTGCGTGCTTGCGTGCGTGCGTGCGTGCGTGCGTGCGTGCGTGCGTGCGTGCGTGCGTGCGTGCGTGCGTGCGTGCGTGCGTGCGTGCGTGCGTGCGTGCGTGCGTGCGTGCGTGCGTGCGTGCGTGCGTGCGTGCGTGCGTGCGTGCGTGCGTGCGTGCGTGCGTGCGTGCGTGCGTGCGTGCGTGCGTGCGTGCGTGCGTGCGTGCGTGCGTGTGCGTGTGTGGGTGTGCATGTGTGGGTGTGGGTACGCAGGGCTTTTCAGGGCATTCAGCGCATACCCAGCTGAAAAGCAGGGTAGTCTAGGCATAGTGTAGGCTTGGACCGCGTCCCAGGTGGATCCGTTGGGCATCCAAAACCACAGCCAGCAAAGTCATAGAAGCTAGTCATAGGGCACTCTTTAGCCAAGTACCTGACAAGACCCTAATTAGGTGTTGGCTTCTAATTATCCTGCTGGCCCCTGGGAAAATGGTGCCAAGCCGCAGTCATAAAGATTTTGCCTCCGTGTTCAATCGTGATATCTCCATAGCCGATGGTCGTGACGATCTGCACGACTACGTAGAAGGCGGTTGCAGCCGACCAGCCCTCATGGGACACCAGGAATGTCACGCCAAAGAAACCTAAGTTCTGAACAGTTCAGCGCCTGTTCTCAGGAAATTGCTAGCAGGAGGGCCCTCACTCAATACCACGGCGTATTGGGGTGATTCTGCAAGTCAGACAATGGGAGCCACGGATGAATCACCTCGTACAAGAATTGGGGCTGGGCATACCCAGAAGAAAGCCTTCCCCACTAAAACAGAAACCAAAAAGGTCTACTCATCATTCAAGTGGTAAGCAAACGAGTCGCACAGACAAAAAGGCTAAGGCAAGTCCGCTTTGTTCAGCAAGGCACACAAAAACAAACATGAAGGGCTGTCTGCATTGTACCCAGGGCTCTATCTAAGCAAGCAACAACTTGCTTAGCTTGTAATACAAACGCCCTTTGGAGATCATACAAACCAGCCACGGGATTTCTGCAGGAACTTGGCCAAATACAAATACCCAATGTCAAGGATATCCTTCGGAACTTGTTCTAGGCTTCTTGGAGAGAGCCAAGAGGCTATACAGGATAACCAAAATAATATTGGTCGTGTGAGGGTGGCGGATAGTCCAGGGGATCTTCGCCCATTCCTCTCCGTCGTCTCCCATGGCATGCGACTCGCCCGCCGCGTGCGATTTCTCCGTCCCGAGCATGGCAGGTCCCCGCTGAGAAGCAGAAAGCACAGCAAGGGCTCCCTGGAACATGTTTTTGTTCATATGGAAGTCCATTAAAAAGCAGGTAAGCCTGGTGATCAGAATGGCCACATAGGGGGTCGCAGAAAGCCGGCGCAATGTTGGCTTTTCGTGCCCCGCTATGTTGAGAAACACCCATTGTTCATGCACCAGGCCAACACTCCAACCGCAATCATTCCATTGGGCTCATGTTCAGCCTTCAGGTTGCTTGTCCATGCCCAGCATGCAAAGTGCCATTGGACGGCCGCCCCCCTGAGCCAAACCCGAGCACTGTTCACACTCACAAGCAGCCAAGGTTCCGGCTCTCTCCAGCTTCTTCAAAACCCAAAACGCCCCAGTTTCAAGTGGTCTATCAAATGTCGTTGGATCATTCACTAAGTTTCCACATTTGGCTGCGCTACAAGCTACACCTTTGAACCTTGGAGTGACCAGCCTATCCACCAACATGGGCAGGAAAGCTGAGGCACTGGCAAACGGACAACCATGCGGAAGTTGTAAGTCTGGGAAACTTCTCTTTGCACCAGGGTAAAAACGCACACAGCAAGCTTGAGCAACGTTCCAGGGACGTGTAAAAAGCAAACCCGGGAAGGGAAATAAAACCTGGGGTCTATGGCAATATTCAATAGTTTACTGAGTCCTCCCAATACTAAGAAGGTTATGCCGGCTTGGGCGGGGGTCTAGAGATTGGCTGTGTTCAACCGATTTTGACGGCCTTACCCTCTGCCTCATGCTGTTCGATAGAACAGCACCTTCTGTGATCCCCCTGGTAGGCTTTCCTCATGACCTATCCCAGGCACAGCAAAAGGAACAAATTACCTCCCACAAGCGTGTTGTTGACTTGCCGAAGGACTCCTCCAACAAAAGCATTCATGTCCTCGCCCCTCCCGTGCTTAGCGCGCTCATCCCCAATTTGCCAAAAAGGGTGGGTCTGTTACCTATAGAGGCACCTAGGGGGCATCGTCAAGAGACCTGAGCCTTGCCCCATTCCACTGGCATTCTTTAGCTCGAGTCTTGAGCGAGCAAACCACGAAACAAACTCACCAGGCCACCCCTGCCACCTCTCCGAGCCCCAAGCCACAAGAAAGCAATGATGTCGACTTCAGTTTTATCCGGAAGACCATGCCAATCTGAAGACTCCCCAAAAACCATAAACCCTCCCGAAGCCCTTCCAAAAAAGAAGAAGGCGCGACGCGTTCACCGGCCTCGCCCGCTTTACAGGCGGCGCCGGCAGCGAGGCCCAAGCCGTCGCCGAAGTCGAAGGCGGTAACGTTGAAGTCCAACTCGTGCCTGGGGCAATCCATGCCAGAGACAACTATGATATGGAGGAACCCATCTTTCACTGACCCTTACAAACTGGAACCCTGTGTGGGGTTGACCATTTTTGTGAGGGACACCACTAAACCGCAAGGGTAACGTGGGCCTGAGTTTAACTAGGGATCCTTGGTCATGCATGTCCGGCTGGGATGTGGACAAGGCGCTCCCTCTGCAGCTCTGCCAGCGCATTCCGGTGCAAGTGCTTCTGCTCTGCCAGGGTGGGCCGGTGGTCCACATCAGGGTGAACCAGCCCTCCGTTGTGAGCACTTGGGTCTGTCTTCGGATTGGGTTTGCTTGCAGGGAAATCAAAGAGCAACCACTTGTTTGGGCGGCTTCCCCCATTTTGAGACAAACCCAATTGAATCAAGGACCGCCGGTTAGGCAACAGAGTTGACAATTGGCCCCAAGGGAAACCAAAGGCAACCGAACCAGATTTCTGGCCTCGAGTCTTTTTGAAGGCTCGGAACACTCCTGTCGTCTTGCCCACAAACCATGCCGCATTTAATTCTTGAGCTGCAGGTACGCCCAATTGGAGTATTGAGGATTGCCGGACAGCCTTGCCTCAAACTACGCCTTTTTGGCAATGGCAAAAAGCAGCCTAGCCACTTTGAACGCTTCCTGGAGTTGAGTTTACAGCACCCAGTTCCTTAGGTGATTCAAACATCAACCACTTGCCTGTTTGGACGGTTTGCCAGCAATGCGTAATAAAGCAAAAGGGGCAATTAATGAACTGAGTGCTCGGAGTTCACACATGCACGGTCCGTGCCTGCCAGACAGAGTAAACTAGACGGCTCGATCCTTCTATCTCCCCTTCGAGAATCAGCTGCTGATCAGGGTTGCTCGAAAGACCGCGGAACAGGTGCAAAGATCAGTCCGTCATGAAGGGAACAAAAGGCAGCCAACAGGTGGCGACGCTGGCTGACAGGGTGGTTTGCGATGTTCTCCCCCTTGAGACATGACATGGGCCTCAAAAACGGCTCCTTACAACATACCAACCAAAAGGAGGTCATATAATGTTTCACCGCGTAATCTGCTCTTCATGACTCGCTGCCTATTGCTGGCTTGTTTGGCAACAGTTGTTCTTCCTGTTGCTGCTGACACTATCAAGGACAACCGCTTATTGCTGCCTGCACTATTTGCTGGCTACATGTGCGGCCAGTGGATCGTTCGAAACTTCTGGGGCTTGGAAACATAGACCTGTCGCTTGAATTAGGTCCAGGGTTCCCTGGAGTTGGAGTTGCCGCTCTGAGACCATGTTCAAAGGACATGATGGTTTGATTGTGCTTTAACTTGCCTAGTGGAAACTGGGAAACAAAGACCTTTGCTAAGGAAGCCCACTGATGTCAACACAGATCAAAGTTGAAGAGCGCCCCTGGGAACCCAATTCCGCCAGGAAGCCCAGGATGATGAGGGACACCCCGATCAGGCCCACCACTACTGCCGGCACCGTGGGGCACCTACGGGACGCCAAATTGCAGTACGACCAACCCCAACCATTTTACACACGCCACGTGCAATATCACGATGTGCAGCTTCAGGATGTCTCCGTGGTGCATGCCGGTTTTGCCTTCTGGGCGCTGCTCTCAACGCCTACCCCCACCCAAATCAAGCCCTGGTCGCAGGCACAACCTGTCTTGTATGGCAAGTTGCCTGTTTGATTTATACATTTAGCAATCATGAATGTCTTTCACATAACATGGCTTGCGGGCGACTGCAGTGACCCTCTCCCAATCACGAGCGGTTTCAATCAAGTTAGCCGACCCTGCCAAGGCCCTACAGGAGGGGCCACAGCAGCAAACGACCACTCTGATTAGGGCCCCAAAAGAGCAACACCAGCAGCTAGCACTTTCTGATTGTTTGACTTTCAAGAAAACTTGCCTTTCAAAAACAGAACATCAACATGGTGCCTCCGGGGTAGTGGCTGGGCATTTCAATCAAATGACCAATGCGCCTGATGCAAATCACCATGTTGCTGTGTTGGTGCTGCTGCTCCCTGCTGTCTAAGTACTGTCAGGCACCCACATTCAACACAATCCGTGCGAGGTCTATGATGTGGACCCACCTGCAACCAAGCGCTCTCAACAATTCAGAATCATCATCTGCTCATGGGAAGTTTGCTCCGTTGGGCACACTTTCGCTTTTGTCCCCCAGAAGCCACTATGGACCTTTTGGGGTGGGTGCAGCCACAGAGGAAGAAGGTATTGAGCGGCCCGTATGGACATCCAAATGCAAAGACCCTATTGCCGTCGAGCTGCCGCTTCACCAGCCACAGCAACATGGCACCATTGGGAGCGAAGCTGCGGGGATAAGCTCCCCCTACCCTGCCCGCTTAAAGAACATATGACTTGCCCAAGCGTGTCAGGCAAAGTGAATTTACAGAAGGACACCCCTGCAGCTAATGTGCAAATAGGATGCAAGACGAAATCCAAAGGTCGTACTAGCAGGGCATATCATGGCAGCTTTGTGATATGATGCTTCCTTGTCTCATCAGAAAAGGGCCACCCGGGCACCTTGTTCTATGTCAAGTCCTTCTGTCAGGGACTCACGCGCATGCGTGCAGGCAAATGCATTGGTTGAAATTGACTGAACCGTGCTGGGCCACCATGCTGGGCCCCATCTGCGCTTAAGCTCGCCCAAAGAGCCAGCGTTTCTGCGTTCCGAGCGCCCCTCCAACACATGACGGCAACGCTGCACACCTACCGAAAGTTTCCTGCATGCGTTCAAACATTTTGATATGCCGTTTGAGGCCGATGTCAAGCCAACCGTCGGCCACAACAAATGCAGCAACAAAGACGAACATGCCCGAGCGTGTCAATGAACAAATTGCGAAAAACTGTATTCTGGAGTGTGGTATTGATATATCCCCGCAGCGTTCACTACCTGCCGTATCATGCCGGGCAAGTGTGCAGTGTACGTGTGTGCATGCATGTTCGATGTGCACTCGACCTATTGGCTGCATCAATCGTCACGCGCATTAACCGCAAGTCCGCCCTTCCATGTCGCCGGAAGAAGTATCAAAAAGTGATGGCTAAGCCATGAACCAGAAGAAACAAACATTCGCACATCCGGAAGCCCTGTCTCGCGGACCAGTACTGCAGAAAAGAAACGCTTCCGACACGGATCTGAAAGAGTGTCTGTCGCATGATCAACTGGTTGCAAGGGCAGCCATGGCCAAAGGGCACCTTTTACAAAGGTTGGTGACCAACCGATGCGAAGTGAGTGGGTCTTGACGGTCTTATGGTGCAAGTGTGGCCTTAAGGCTTCTTGCGCCTCAAAAATGGGCCTTGTCTGAGGGGCAGGGAAACCCTTGGTCCTCCCATGGTCTGATTGCCAGAGTGTAAGCATGCCAAGATCTGCTGATGAGGACATCTCACCATACTGGGGCAGGGAGGCAGTGCCATGGTCGCCTGTACAAAGCCAAACAGGCAACCCCTGAAACATCCCTGGCTATCTGCGGCCATCTTTTGATTCTTTGCAATCAACTTCCAGGCTCACGGATCGGATTTCCTGAGGCTTGACTAGTATCCTGCTTGTTCGCAATGGCCACCTTTAAAACATCGCATCTTTCATCTAATCCAGGAGAAATGGAGATGAACAAAGGGACTTTGCCCTCCAAAACATGAGTTTGATCTGGAGGTGACTCAACTTGCAAAACAGCAGGCTAAACCATTCTGCCAATCCTGGGGAAAACATCCTGTATCTTGTTAGCTTCTCCTTAAAACAGCCTCTCAGCCCCTGAAAGTGTGAAAGGAAAGATGTAGAGTTGAACCGCCCCTTCCAAATGATGTGCCAAGCTTCACTCTGCGACTTTCGAAAAGCAAGATTGTCTTGCGAGTACGCCCACTGCACGGCCTGCAAGCAACCGGCCGAATGAAGCAAGGGCATTTGTCGGCAACCCCAGGTATTCCGCAGAGAAAACGTCTACATGGACCACCCTCGCAAGGCTCCATCCCAAGAGGCTTACGAAAGGGTCCTGCCCACAAAGTCGGACATATCCTTAAGCAAATGCAAATCACTCAATACCCCTAATGGAAACTCAGTGCCAAACTAGGTACTTTGGTGGTACTTTGGTTTTGCTCCATTTGAAAGGGAGTGCCGGGGGAGGGGGGGGGGGAGGGGGGAGGGGGCACATTTGGGCGAAATGCGATTCTTCGGCACACCGCATGGACCCCCATGCCAACATGCTGACCAAAATCCAAATCATTCCAAAATCCCAAAGTACACAAATTACAGCAGCCCGTTGGTGCCGGCCGACTCTTGTACTTCTCGTGGGCGCCAAGAAGCTCTCCGAGCCGAAGGGCTGAAACAACAAGCTGATGTTGCTTCCAAGGTGGTGATCGAAGCTTGTTTCGCTGGGTTGGCCTTCCAGCCCTGGAAGAATGGTGTTGCTGTTTCTCAAAGCCAAGTCAAGTGAGGTACCACCCTTTGCCCTCTGACCCTCGGGTAAACATGCCCAACAAGCCGCGAGGAAAAGGAGAGCCCTTTTTGTCCGCGGCTAGAAAGGTCTAAACGTTGATTCGCAACGGGCCAAACCATGAGTGACCAACCTGAAATGATGGTCCCCTATGAAATGAACCTTCACGGGTGATCGCAAACCAAATCCCTTTGAGCTGGGCATTCTGAAACCAGGCAGCCTAAACCGGCGCGCCTGCGGGGATGAGTATGAGCTCACGGTCTCCTTGTCTGTTTCACCGCACGCGTCCTTTGAGTCCTCTGATCCTCGCGAAAAGGAAGCGCAGGTCTGTGCATCTGACCGAAACTGCCGTGAGGCCCTTGCCTGAAACAATTAAGTTAACAATTGAGGCCATTGAGGTATCAAGTTTCTGCGAAGGGCGCTACTTGTTTGGAACCCATTGCAAAAACAGTAGTTGCAAAACAGTAGTTGCCTTTCTGGCTTTAGACTGAGCCGGCCACGACTGGCAATTAAAAAGGGAGCCCATCTCGGTGGTATTTGGGCCAGCTTTTGGATTCCACCAGTGAATGCAATCTCATTGGTGTCCGAAAAGGTCCAGTCCAGGTGCGGGCTTTGAAAAGCCGACTTTGAGAAGCGCCGTTTCAGGGAACATCAAACCATAGCCCAAAAGACTTTCCAAACCGTCTACGCCTAATTTAGTTTGGGAGGCATGCTAGGGCCGAGGGCAACTTGTTTTATTTGGGCCATATGAACTCGCTAACAGCGTGGCACAAGCAGGGGACCTTTTTGAGCTACATGAACTGAAACAGACCCGAACTCACCCCACATGCACACAACATGTTTGTTGACTCGTGGCAAATCACCAAGCAATGAGGCGTGAATGAGCTTCACGCTTTCTCAAACTCAAGACGAATCCTTGCCACCTTGCCGCGGACTCAGACACAATTATAGGAGGGTGAACCGTGTGCAAGTTAAAAGCTATTCCGAGGAACTGGCAGGAAACTCTGGGCGAATGCCCATTTCTCGAAGAGACTGGCACAACAATGGTCGCCGCCGAGCTACCCGAACCACATCGCTGCCTGGGCAAAGAAAGCTGGCTGCAGGATGCTCGCATGGTCAAGACCACAAGCTCCAGAAGCCAAGGCACTTAGAGGCCACTTGAACTTTCAGGTGCACCAGTATCTGGGAACCCTCTTGGATTGGCAGGAAGGCAGGCCATGGCTGAACACAAAGATTCACGTAGGAGGATCCACTTTTCCCTTTTCCAATGACCGGGCCAAAGGTGCAACGGCAGAGCCCGGGAGATGTCGCTGCCCGTCATCATCGGTTGACCTCAGCAACGCATTTTGCCTGAAGGGCTTTTTGACGGCACAGCAGGCAGCATCCACACGGGTATCCGCGCGAACCCAAAGCAAGTGCCAATGAACTAAGTCGGTATTGGACAAAAGGTTTGATTTGTCCGCAAGATGTGGGGACGGGGGCACCAAAAAAGAATCCGACCGTTGGGAGGGTGGGGGGGCACAGTCACGAACTGGTCTCACCCCCCCCCCCCCACCCTCAAAAAAAAAAAGCCCACCGCCCCCTGAAGCCGGCTCAGCCCTTTTCATTTCTAAAGCAAGGAGAACGCAATGCTAGCAATGCTAGCATAGCCACTTGCGTGATAAGGCTCGCCAACGAGTTTGCCCTGATAATGGATGGACCACTTTTGTGTTTAAAAGCTCTAGTGAGGAAAGGGTGATTTGCCGAAATGCTTAGCACCCCACTCGTCCCCACCTCATCAATGAGAGACTTGTTGGTACCCACAATGCCACTTGGGCCCAAGCCCAAAAGGATGAGTTGCCCGGTGCCGATCCAACTTTTGAGCCAAAACGCGGCTGAAAATGCGCACGGGCCATGCCGCACTGGGCTCAGGATCCAAACAGGTTGCATAGGAGCCGCCAGCACCAAAGCAAGCCTCTGATGGCAAGCAATGGCCATGCGGATTATACTCATATACATATCTAGCCATATAGATGACTATGAGTATGTTTGATCAGTGACTTTATGCGCACAGCTATAGTTGCGGACGTGTCTCATGCAATCTACACATGAAGGAAAAGGCACATTGTGGCATGTGGAAAGAGGGTGAGCCTGTTCAAAGACTCAAAATGGCTGACTGTTCGGCGCAGAGAACGTTCCTGGCGAATGAAAGAATAACATGTCCATGTCCCTGGCAAACTAAAAAGTCGGGCATTCTGATGTTGGGTCGGAGATATCCCATGCCGCGGCCCTTTCTGGTTGCAGCAACCCCCAGCGGTAAGGGTGGGAACCTTACAGAATTTCTACCCTTTAGCTTTGGTCGACTAAAGCTGAGCAACTCTGTCATCCTCTTTGGCGAAAACACAAGCTGTTCTGTTTTGGACCCTAGTTGACTAATGATGGGCCACTACTGAACCAGCAAAAGGTTCAAAGATCTACGTGCGACCTGCTTCTCCGGGCTTTGCCAAGGCCAGTCAAATCAAAACTACATAACTTTATCCGAGCTTCCGTTTGATCCGTCAACGACTTCCTGCCCAGAACCAAGCACCTAGCAGCCACCTCCCTCGAAACAAGAACAATTTACGAAGTTACAACCTTGAAGAAGTAGCATTGACTTGCCCAAATGCCATGGGCCAAAGAAACCCTTAATTTGAGACTCACGCGCGCATTTCAGCTTCACCTCTCCCTTTGATCCGCCCAACACGGCATTGAGGGCTGTTCTTTCAAATGCTAGAAGCTGAAATGGATGGATGGCTTTCCTCGGGCCTCCCTGTGATCCGAGAACAAAAAACAAGGCAATGCGCCCCCCAAAAAACAAAAAAACTCGCTGCTCTGCCTGCATGGCA